ATCTAACAAATTTAATACAAAATATAATCTAAAAAACCAAGCATATTATTAACTAATTAATTAGTTAACTAGTAGAAATTTAATCCAATTTAATCTGATATAGCTAAGAAAACGAGGCATCAATATTTCGCCAATGTTATAATTTTTTTGTAAAAAGTAAACCGTCATGTGTTGAAGTGTTGGGTAATATCAAACTTGAAGAAATTTATGATTAATTGTTCAGTCTACATTTAAACCTCCATAAATTGAGGCAGTTGTGACCACATTCTTCACACACACACATACACATACACATACACATACACATACACATACACATACACACTTTTTACACACACGCGCACACACACACACACACACACACTTTTTTACACACACGCACACACACTTACATGCACATACACACTTTTTACATACATATAAAAGTGTGGGGCTGAACTGGGGGTTCACTGTTCAACATATTCTAGAACTAGAATTGTCGCGAGTGACACGGGCCGGTAAACGGTTTCGATACCGGTTCACCTGTCAACGGGCCCCGGTTTTGAGCCGAGAACCGGCCCATGGCCATGTCTGAATCTGCCTGTGCGAAAAAGATCTTGGATAAATTTACCATGTAAGATGTCAAATTTGTTACTGGGCGTTTAGCTGCTCATTTTATGTCAAATAAGGAACAACCTCCGAACGTGTGATATGAAATTTGTGTCTTATATATGCTAATGCAATTGATTCTATAATGTACTTGATGGTCAACACAAGGCCTGATATTGCATATGCTATAAGCTGTCTGAGCAGGTACATGGCTAACCCTGGGTTGCCTCATTGGGAGACTGTGAAGTGGCTAATGAGATAAATGAACTATTAAAACGGGAATTTAATTTTCATAGTGTGAAAAATGAATTGTTATGTGTGGCTATGTGGATTCCAATTATGCAAATGAGAGATAATAGAAAATCTACAACATCATATGTGTTTACTTTATGTGGATCTTGTATAGAATGGAAGTCACAACTTCAAAATATAATTGCTTTTTGAACAACCAAATCTGAATAATTGCAGCCACTGAGGCTATAAAAAAATCTATTTGGTTAAAAGAGCTTTTCTGTCTGAAAATGTGATACGCGTAAAACCTACGTATGAAAAACCGCAAGTGTACAGTATCGCGTTTTGTAGAATAGTGAATTCCAAATATCGATCCACAGGGAATTAAGTTCCTAAATCTACCAAGTACCGTAATTATACTATCCTAACTTTATCTAGACGGGAGAAAAATATGGGAGATGACATGAACCCAAAAGGAAACAAAAATAAAAACAACGGTCTGCCAGGACAAGCGAGGAATTCCGACGTGTGATGGCTTCTAGGGTAAAATCCACCAGTGTACTATCGATAAAGATCTACAGATCCGAATCTATTGTCAATTCTATATTCGCTAACCTAGACACTAAAGTATCCTAACCCCCGTCTCCAGTGTAGTTAGAGTCTACCCACAGGTCCGACGTCTCCGTTCAGAACCTGATATTAAGAGAGCATTTAGGTCAAGTCCTTAAGGGTTACCCGAGGTGCATCACGTCTCCGTTTCCACAACCCGAGCTATGTTTTCCTAAAATCAAACGAGAAATCTTCTCTCGAGTTCATTCACATTTACAATCAATTCAACTGTTGGCCAAACAATCGAAAGCATTTAATACAGGAAAACATAAACAAAATCAAAGAACGACAAATAGATCACAGATCTGGAAATCAAAATCAATATATACAAGGTTTCATTTCCCTACAAGAAAATGCTTAGTTCATTACAAACATAGCATCAAAATGAAGAACACGAGAAATTATAAACTAAACGTAAAGAAAAGCTTATGAAAAACCCGAGTCGAAACCTTCGTCGAAGCTTCCCGCGAAGAACTGGCGAAAACCGAAGAGAAAACCGAAGAAAAGGTCGAGAGATATGTCTTGATATGTCTCGAGATATTTAAAAATGAAGAAGAAACCTTCTATTTATAGTAAGAAATCAAAGAAAAATATCTCGTCTCGAATTCTGTGCCCAGATTGCGATCTGGCAGCCTTGGAAACTGCGCACCGCCTTTCCAGATCGCGATACGGGAATGGTGGATCGCGTTCTGGTTCTTGATTCAAAAATGTACTGTGAGACCCCCCAGACCGCGATCCAAGAAGGCTGGATTGCGATCTGGGTCCTGATCAAAAAATGTACTGTAAGACCCCCGAGATCGCGATACAGGAAGGCTGGATCGCGATCTGGGCTTCTGCGCCAACTTCAAACATTGTTTTGACCCTTTTTTAGCCCAAATTAGACAATTTTTCATTTCACAAAAGTTGTAGATATTGAAGTGAGCTTTCTAAGGGCACTTGAATCAGCTCAATCGGAGGTCGGATGAAAAAGGTATGCTTGAAATACGAAACAGTGCCACACCCGCGATAATGCACTTTTGCACGTGTTTGGTTTGATTTTCGGCTTCGCTTCCAAAATCGTTTCGAATCGGCAAAAATAGCTTCTCTTTACCTAAAATAAAAATAAAACAAAAACAACATAATATATACAAATAAAGCCGAAACTCGGACGAACGAAGACCAAAACTTGAAGATTTGATAAGCAAAAATCGTGCAAAACGAACACTTATGAAAATGACTTTTTGAAGAAAAAGGTTGTGGTTTTTTTCTAATAGTCAATCAGGAATTCATATGTGCAAGAATCTTATCAGAACAAAACACATTGATGTTAAATCTCACATTATTAGAGATATTGTGGAACATTGTGTTATTGACCTTGAAAAAATTCCTTCTAACTTCAATTCTACTGACATGAGTACTAAGTGTTTACATGTGGAGAAATTTAGGTCATGTTTGAGGAGTTTGAACATAATCTAAAAAATGTTATAAAGACAGAGATTGTGCTTTCTGCTTGCTTTGTGCAAGTTATTTGCTTTCTGTGTGATTGCATGGTTTTTTTTTTAAATCTGCATGACTTAGAAAATTGATCTTGGTGATTACATCATTTGTGGAAAAAAAATTTGGAATCTTTTACTGAAATCTTTGTGATTTGTGTTTATGATTCAAAATTACGGCAATGATGATCTTAGTCCATTAAGTGTGTTCATGAAAATTCATTTTTGATCTCAGGTGGAGAATTTATTAAGAATTGAGTCCATAAATAAACTTTGTGATATGGACCCGTCTTTTAAGTTCTGGCAGCCCAACTCAAGGAAATTGGGCCCAAACAACTTAAGTCCACAACCCAAATCAGACCCGATCTTCACCGTCCATTCCGTGTTATTGATCCTGGACGTTCATTGACTCTTTCTTTACCTCATTCTCAAACCATAGCATCTCATTCTCAGTTGTGCCGTTTCTCTCTCTTCTTATTCCCCTCACTCTCTACAGTACTTCGTCATCTAGTGTCGTTTTCCAGCGACACCGTCGCAGGTCTTGCCGGACAATGGATGTTCTTGCCGCCGCAACACATTTAATGTTGCGGACAAGTGAGAGATAATGTAGACTTTACTTTTAATTCAAACCGAGTGTTTTCACCTCCAATTCTCTTATGTGAATGATCGAGATCTCTGAGTGAGGAAAACTAGGGTTTGTGTTGAGTGGAGAGGGTGAGTTGTGATTGTGCATGTGTTGGTGAGTCAACTTAGTGTGAGTTCCGAGTAGATCTAGGGTTTTGGGTTGAGAGGCAATTTCTTGGTGCTTGTTTCTGTTTTGGAGTTGCCACCAAAACTTGAATCTTCTAGACTAAACATTGGAAAAGGGAACTGAGCCGTTTGATCATACATGCAGCTCTAAGCTTGAGCTATTTTGCGATCTATCGCTTTACTTCTTTTTGTTACTACGGATCTATGACTGGAACTATTGGAACTTGCACCTAACAGTATGCAAAATGTAGTTTGATAACTGAAGAAAAACGTGTATTCGTTGGGCTGCAGAAGAAGAATTTGGTTATGTACAATGCGATACTTATGGGTTTTTTGAGGTGTGGGGTGGTGGAAGAGGCGAACAAATTATTTGCTTGTATGCCCGAGAAAGATCAAATTTCTTGGACAACAATGAATACTGGACTAATGCAAAATGGGAGGGATAAAGAAGCACTTGATTCATGCGTATATGACTCGAACTGATCATATCGACAATATTTTTGTAGCCGGTGCACTCGCTGATATGTACTCAAAATCGTAGAGACATAAAAACTGAAGAGACAGTTTTTAGGAAGATGCCAAACAAGAATATCGTGTCTTGGACAGCCATGCTAGTGGACTATGGTCAGAATGGTTACAGTGAGGAAGCTGTTCGGGTTTTTAGCGAGAGAAATGGTTACATTGTCAATCACGAGTTTTGGGATTGATTTCCTTTATAACGGTATCAAACGCACTTGTTACCCTGTATGGTAAAATGTGGGAACATCGACGAGGCCCATAAGTTGTTCGATGAAATTAAATCAAAGGATGAAGTATCTTGGACTGCATTAGTTTATTGTTATGCCCAATTTGGGAAAGCCAACGAAAACGATTCGAGGAAATGTTGGTTTGTGGTCTTCAACCAGATGGGGTTACTCTTGTTGGGGTTCTTTCTGCATGCAGTAGGGCCGGTTTTGTTGAGAAAGGCCGACATTATTTTGCATCAGTGGTGGACAAATACCGAATCAAGCCAGTTCTCGATCACTGCACTTGCATGATTGATCTGTACAGTCGAGCCGGACAGTTAGAAGAATCGAAAAATTTCATTCTCCAAACGCCTTGTTGTCCCGATACGATTGGTTGGTCAACTTTGCTGAGCTCGTGTAGAAATTGTGGTAATATAGAAATAGGAAAATGAGCCGCAAAATCTCTTCTTGAAATCGACCCGCAAAAACACAGAAATAATGTTGCTATTGCATTTGGTGTGATTTTTGTTCCTCATGGTCTGCCGATTAAAGTGGTGAAAAAAACCTTCGTGTGTGTGGTGACGACTGTCGTAATGCAACGAAAATCATTTCAAAGATCACTCAACGAGAAATTCCGTTTAGAGATGCCGCACGGTTCCATTTATTTGAAGAAAAATCACACTACAAGCAAATTACACAAATCGGTATTAAACCTTAAAGAGTTCACTCAAATTGATAGTTTCTATTAACGACAGGTGCCGAAGCTGAAGCCGACTAATACTCCATTACCTTCATTCTTCTTCTTCTTCGTCTTCTTTTAACGATTTTACGGACTCTGGTTGAATGTGCTGCACAAAAACGAAACAGAGCCTATATGGTCAATAATATTTGTACAGGAGTAACAAACCAAGGTAACTTACTAACTACCTGAATTCGAGTACAGATTTCTATGACTTCAGAAGGTGGGGCCCAGTCGCCGAAGTTTCTCTCGATGAACTGATAAGCAATCCCACTTTTGCCTCTGCCAACTACAAACAGTCCGCCTTTCGTCTCACCTTCACCCTTAAAATTCATTTCCAATCCAGTAGCCTTCGCTCGTTTATAGTTTGCTATTGCTCGAGGGTTGAACAGGAAACCGGAAACGAAGTTTTCCTTGAGCAGCTTCCCTCCACCGAGTGCCTTGAAAAACCCCTGGCCTTCGTCATATAGCACAACACCACCCCAATATTTCGGCCAAAAATTGTTTACCTGAATTTATTTTAAATTTTGCATCATCGAGCATTATTTTAGCCCGGCTATTTGTGCTGTATGCATTAATCGAAATTTCTTACCTCCGATTCTATATGCTCGTGAAGAACTGCAAATAGTTGAACTCCAAGAGCATCGAATACCGGTTTCTTGGAGTAGAGCTGATGAGCTTCAGCTCTGCACATAATGCACCTGATTGTATATATATAGTATCTATCAGACACACTTCCATTTTTGTAGATGGAATAATATTAATTTTCAGAAAAAAAATAAAGGGTTAAATACAGTTTGCACCCCTGTACTATCGTAAGTGTCACATATACCACTTGTACTATGAAATGCACAAAACAGCCCCTCACCTTACCAGTCAACTCAAACGGTGTTAGTTCTTTTTGCAGTGTAGTTACATTTTTACCCGTACTCTTACTTGATAGAAATTCAATGTAACTTGGGCAAAAAAAATTCGAACACCTACATAAAAACAAAAGTGGTTCCAGAAAAATATGACATGTAGTGTTTGGACCTAACATATGAATTTTGAGAATTTGAACTATCGAAAAACATTTATAAACTGAGTATTTTATTTATAAATTTAAAAAGAAATTAAAAATAATTTCTAGAATATAAAATTTGTTAGAAATTTTGGTGAAAAGAAAGGGTTGGGAACGAAAATTAGGAAAAATTGGGAAGAAATTTGAGTACAAATGAGTGAAGAATGATGCACACTTTTTATACACAATCAAAGGGGTATTTTGGTCAGAAAATTTTCAACAGCTATTGAAAGAGACAACTTTTGTAACATAGATGGACGGCAGTGGTTGTTTTGTCGCATTTCATAGTACAGGGGTATATGCGACAGTGATAGTAGTACGGGGGTGCAAACTGTATTTAACCCAAAAATGAAATCATACCCAGGCCTTCGAATGCAGACGAATATAGCTGGTTTGTCCCGCCACAACTCCGAAACTTTCATTGGAGGTGACTTAGTCTTGATCAGCCTCTCGATTCCAATCTTATATTCGGGAACTAATTTCTGGACAGAGATATTCTCGATAGTGGAATAAGGAGCTACATTCTCGACAACAGGTGGCGGTTGTACGCAGCCGCACGCTCTAGGCTCCGCTGGCACGGAAGCCACGACGCCCTTGAAGATATGCCCGTCTTTAATCTTGAAACTCGCCAAAGATTGTTCTATGGTAATATCAGAACCGAAGCTACTTTTTCGTGAGTTTCTTGTCGTGTTTTCGAGTTTTTGGGAGTTATTTTGGCTCTTAGTGTATATGCTGTTGTTTCTTGAAGGTGGGTTGTGTTGCTTTCTGTCCATGAAACGGGCTATGTGGCCTCTTTTCATTGGGTACAGTGAAGAGAGGTCTGTGTTGCTTAGGCTGAGAAGCTCGGCTAAACTTTTGCCTGAGGCCTCTAGCTGATCGCCGTACTGCATCAGGGCTCGGTCGTGCAGGTATGATCTAATTTCAAGTGCATCCTTTTAGAAGGACGCGGGAAATGTATTTAGACGTCGTTAATATTGCTAATCTTGTTTAGTCGAATGCAAAATTGGATGTAGGTGTGGAACATATTGATTAATAGTTAGATGGATTCATTGTTTGGAGTAAATTGCAGTTAGTAGTAGTACCCCTGTGTTATTTCGAATTGCACAAAAAAGTCACGTGTTATAAAAAGTAGCGAAAACGCCATTGTTAAATGTTTCGGACAATACACTGCACACGATCTCATTTTATTCGTTGATCGGTCGTAAGAAGACAAGAACGCCCTCAAGAAATTTCTGACAAAGCCCAAAGCTCCCTTCTATTTCTAAAAAGTATGATATGTTATTTTTCTTCAAAATTTCTGTTCTTTTTAGGATTCATAGAAAATTGTAATTCAGTCCTTAAAATTAGGATTAGTTACATTCGAAAGTGAAATATTGGTAAGGACAAAATGGAGTTTGCCCCCTAGAAATTTTCATATTTTGCACTTTGCTCTCTACAAATTAAAAAAAAAAAGGGCTCACCCTTTCAAAAATTTGTCCCGAATTACTATTTTCAGTGTATTTTTTTACGGTAATTGCCATGAATCCATCCAATGAAGGGCATTTGTGACATTTCAGAGAAATTGAAGATTCTCACAATTTTTTGAGACCGCAATAGGCACAATTTGTATTGGGAGAAAAAAACCCTAATTTTGTTTTCTGAACTTAGTGAAATGGGTTGTGTTTTTCATGTATTAGAGAAGATAGGGATAATAGGATTTGGATGGGCATAATAAAACGACTCAAGTGCCCTTGAAATGGACAAATTAATGGCAAGTCCGATGAAAAATACGCCAAAAAATGTGATTTGAGGCAAAGTGCAACTGAAACACAATTTTGAAGGAGAAAAGTCTCATTTATCAATTTGTAGGGGGAAAAATTCAAAAATTGAAATTTTTTTGGGGGCGAAGTGCATTTTGTCCTATTCGTAAAATTATAGAAGGGGGTATTTTTGTTGCTTTACCCCAAAATTTGCAGAAAAAATCGCCCAATCCACGATTGAGTAACACGGTCAACTCTACAGGGTGTTTTTTGTTTGCTAGTTTTTATATAACACAAGGACTTTCTGTGCTGTTCGAAATAACAAAGGGGTACTGATTGCAATTTACTCAGCTGAACTCGAACTAAGAAAAAACATGATGATGATGATGATGATGATGATGATGATGATGATGATGATGATGATGATGTCATTTAGAAAACAAACCTTCTGGGGACGAGTCATGCCGATTTCATCCATGTCGTCGGAGTTCATTACCTTCAAAGTTGGTACGTCGTCCCACCCTTGATCTAACAGCTTCGGTAATAATTCTTTAAGACGACCGTTTCCCACAAAATCTTCGGTTGAGAATGAAGCCATTGCCCAATTGCTCCAAATACAAACAGGCTTGAAAGAATGTATATATACAACCTCTGTTTTAAGGTACTCGTTTTTATTGAACAATTAACTCAACCTTTTATTTTACTTTGCCTTGTTTCACGCAAGTAGGTGTTTTCAAAGTTTTTATTTTATGTTTGTCTTTTTTTATAATTCGGACAGCATTCCTAGTGTAAGTGGGAACCAATTATCCAATTTTACAACTGTCAATATAGGAATATTCTTTTGGCCTTTTGCCGGCCAAACCTGTTCTGCATTAAATGTATCTCTTTTTTCTTTCTTAATCTTTTAACAGATATATCATGCGTTTGTATTATTTCTAAAAACGTGCTATTAAGTAATAGTCAGACTGCATATATAGGGAAGCGGTTAGTTAGTTAGTGAGAAAGCATATAGAAGCTGTATTCAGCTCATGTTAAATTAGGATGAAATGATAAAGAAAACCATGACAAGACACTTAAGTAAAAGAGGAACATCCTATTTTTTTTTTTGTTTTGTATATATATCCACCTCGTACAAATTTATTTGCTGATACGAAAAAATCTTTCATATATACCATAATTATTTCTAACTCCTTGAAGCTCCCAATTCAACTTCAATTTCAATTTTATTAATATTATTAATACCGTCTCAGACAATAATATTAAGGGAAAATGAGGGATAACCCCCTCATTAGGTAAAATAATATAGTACGGACCTAATTTATAATTAACCTTTTGTAGACAAATTCATTTAATATTTTCTAAATTGTGTGACCCCCTAAGCTTATGTTAATGTCCATTATGCCTTTTTTTGTCCATATTTTTCTCCAACCCTCTCTCTCTTCTCCTTATTTCTCTCTTATCCGTCATTTTATATTCTCCATTAATTTATCTCTCTTCATTTTTTCCCTCAATTTTGACGTATTGTCTCTCTCTCTCTCTCTCTCCTATCTTCTCTCTCTTCTCTCCCTTCTCTCTCTTCTCTCTCATCTCCAATTTCCTCTCTTCTCGTATCTATTTCTTTTATTCCTTTTCTTCCTCTCTCCTCTCTTTCTTCTCTCTCTCTCTCTTCTTTCTCTTCCCTCATTTCCTCTCTTCTCGTCTGTTTCTGTTTCATTTTTTTTATTTTTCTCTATTTCTTCTCACTACTTTACCTTTTCTTCTATATCTCATTTTTTAGTCATTGAAATCAATCTATTTTCTGTCCTATGAAATTCATGTTTTTATCGAAGATGAAGATTTTTATCATGAGTATTCAATTTTATAACACCATAGTATCTTAAATTGAAAAATAATATAGTGAATTAATGGAAAAATTATAGTCGACGACCAATTTTTTTATAGTTGACTATCTAATTTTTGTAGTTGACCTACCGGAGAAAAAATATAGTTAACTACCATTTTTTTATAGTTGACATCGTAAAAATCATAGTTGACTATCTAATTTTATAGTTGATTTTGGGAAAAATATAGTGAACTACCCGATTTTATAGTTGACGTTGAGTGTAGATGACTACAATATTTTATGTTTTCGACAACACTGATCTTTTCTTTGTTGTGGACTCTGATAAAACAAATTTCATAGGAAATACATATTTATGAGTCAACAAATAGTGCAACCATAGATCTGTAGATCTAAAAAAACAAGCTTGTTTACAAACTCCATTTTTGAGTAATCAACCATGGAAGAATTCCGAACCATCGCATATGGTCGTCGCGTACCGTTGCATACCGTTTCTGTAGGAGACTTCGATTTGTCCTTAATTAGGAGTCGCCGAAGAGGGTGTCCAAAACAGAAATTATGTGGTAAATGTACATAAATTAGGTTAAAAGACGTCGAGGGGAGTGATGAGTGTATAGGAAACTACATGTCTTCTTCTTGCTACCTTTCACCATTGTTGTTGACCTGTATCTCTCAACGATTCTCACACAAATATTATTTGTTTTTTTTTTTGAATAAATGTAGCAAACTAGGGCATTGTTGCGACTGAAATGATCCGATATATTTGCAAATTTTTTTTTGCGATTTTCTTGGCACAAATATAGCACAATAGCGGAAATTGATGAGAAATTATTTTGACGAAACAGTTGAAGATATGCAGTTTGGGGGAAAATAGAGGGGGGGGGGGATGTAATTGCTATTAGAAATTATGGGGGAAGTTCAGTAATTGCTAATTGTGATGGAGTTTGACCCATTAAAAATAATGTAAGGTGGTTAGTCCTAATATTTTTCCTAATGAGGGGGTTATATCTCACTAACCCTAATATTAATGTGTTAATATTAATATTACAGTCTCAAACAGTAATTTTTACTGTCTCAATGCAATATCACTATCTCAGACAACAACTGTGCTATCTGAGACAGTAATATTCATGTCCTCCATTTGCCATATCTCGTAGTCATATCACGCAACTATGGCTAACAGAATCCTAATGGACTTAAGCATAGCGACTGGTGAAAAGTTTTCCTCATAGTCAACGCCTTGCCTTTGAGTATATTCTTTTGCCACCAACCTAGCTTAACAGGTCGAAACCTTTCTATTTACTACAATTTTTCGGTTATAAATCCACCTGTAGTCAATGGGAACGATTCCCTCAAGCGAATCTACCAATATGCATACATTGTTGGAGTACATAAAGTCTATTACATATTTCATTGCGCTAAATTGCGCTAAGCCAGTGTCTTCTCTGTACCAGATACTGCTTCGTTGTAAGTCATTGGATCACATCCATGGTTAAGATCGTCGTCTTGATTACTTACAAGAAAGTTACAACTTTTTTTGGTAACTTGCGAACCCTTGCAGATTTAGGAACAATAGGTTCGAGTTTTGTTTCAATGGATTGTGCTATTGGCTCTTCTTTTAATTGTGTTGGTCGAACTTAAGTTTGTGGTTCTCAAATTTCTTCGAGTTCTACCATGCTGCTTTTTCTATCGAATAAAAACTTCTCTCTGAGTAGGTGGCATTCCTTGAGGCAAACAACTTTGCCTTAGAATTATAGTAGAATATGTATCCCATTGAGTTTTCGGAATACCCACAAAGTAGCATAAGTCGGATCGCCTAAGTTATCTCTCATCAACCGCTTCACATAAGCGGGACATTCCCAAACTTTGAAGTTGTTGTACGCGGTTTTTTTTATTAAACTAAAGTTCAAAAGGCGTGGATTTTACTGCTTTAATTTTAACTCGGGGTTGAACAAATATACAATATATATGAGTTGGCCACTTACTGTACCCCATCATAGATCGAAAAATGTCCAACAAAGTTCGATAACCATGTCCAACAAAGTTCGATCACGACGCTCCGATACTCCATTCAATTGAGGAATTTTGGGCGGCGTCCAATTGGAGATAATCCCATTATCTTTAAGATAGTTTAAGAATTCGGTATTCAAGTATTCTCCACAACGATCAGATTTTAGTTTCTTAATACTTAGTCCTATTTTTTTTCCAACTTTTCGTCTACATACATTGAACTTTACAAATACTTCGGACTTGCGCTTCATTAAGTACACATAACCATACCTTGAGAAATCATCAGTAAACGTTATGAAGAAGTTCAACCCACCCTTGGCAGTAACACTTAGTGGCCCACAAACATTCGTATCTATCAAATTCAATAGAACTTTGGCTCGTTCCATTTGCCCTAAGGAAACTTAGTGATCTTTCGTTTGAGACACGATTCACAAGTTTGCAATGAGTTAACGTCAGTTGGACTGAACAATCCCTCACGAGCTAACTCGTTATTCGTCTTAAAGAAACATGACCTAGTCTAGCACGCGAAAGTTGTGTTGGGTTTAAATTATCAACCTTACGTTTTATTGTTGAGTTTAAGTTAATTGAAATTTCATTTATGTCTAGTTGATATACATTGTTTGTAAGTTCTCCTTGAGTAATAACAGTGTTACCCTTGTAAATAGCGCAAATCAAATTTCTGAAATAAAAAAACTAACATTTCTTATCCGAAATAGAAATAGAAATTAAGTTTTCAATCAAAGACGGTACAAATAAACAATCATCTAAAATTGAACTAGAATTTAAGCTTAAATATAAGATAACTCTTCCAATGGCCTATGCATCAACTCTTGCTCTATTGCCCATCCTCAAGAAAACATCTCCATGCGTGAGTTTCCTACTTCTTGTCATTAGCTGCATATCTTTAAAAAAATGTGATCCACAACCGTTATATAATACATATGAAGTAGAATTAACGGATAAGTTAACTTCTACAAAAAAAAAATACCTTTATCAGAACACTTCTGATCGAGGTACACCTTTCAGTTTCGGTAGCCAATGGCCCGATTTTCCACAATGGAAACAAGTATTACCGTCTTGCTTGCTTTCCTTTGCCTTAGATGCACTTGATTCTCCTTTTCTCTTCTTTTCGCTTTGCTGGGAATTATTTCCCTTTCTCTTCTTAAACTTGGAACCACAATGGAACCATTCCTAGCACGAGATCAGTGGTCTATGCTGCTTGGAAGACTGCCAGGTAGGTGTCGCACCAGTTGACCACCTCTTGGACATCGATTCCCTCTTCCCCGCGAACTTCCTTGTTCCTCATCTCCCACGCCTTCCAACACACGACCATTGCGAGAGTAAATAGTTCCATCGAGAGTTTCTTCCTCATGTAGTCCAGCCATGAACTAACTGTGGAAAGCTCAATGTCAATTTCCAGCCCAAACGGAAATCCTCGCCAGATTGTCTCCATTACCCGACACTTAGAGCACATAGACGGTAGTTTTCGGAAGAGAACCGTAGCTATCATGCATAATAAGGCATAATCAACTAGCATGCATAATCATACGTTTAAACTAAATCGAATAAATATAGCATGCAAATTCGCATAATCAAATAATCAATTTAAGTCATAGTTAAATAAAATGGTTGGATTACTTACTCGTTGAATGTAAGATCCTGAGAACAATTTTGTGGTCTCACCGAAGTACGTCCTTAGTTGGACCAATCCTCGTCAATCTTCATTGCCGAGATTAGGTTTCACCTGGAAGAGATTTTTCCACCAAAGTAATTGCACTAGAAAATACTAAGGTTTAATAAGTGAAAGAAAGAAACGGAAGAAGAAACAAGAGAAATTGCGACGACGACGCGGCGGCCGCTCAATGATGGGGGCGAGAGGGGGGTTCAGTTATTATTATTTTTTTTTTTTCTTTTATGTCCCAAGCCTCTAATTTATAGAATTTATTTGACTTTGTAGGTTAACTTTCTTAATTAATCTAGAAATCAAAAACCCAAACACATCAGAAATCTTCATGACGATTATAACCTCCCTGTCATTTCAAGTACCATATTTCATTTTTCAGGTTTTCACTTTTGAGAATTTCTATTTCAGCGGTACCTGCTAAATTGGCAAAAAGGGCG